AACAAAACTATCAGTTTAACAACATTTTGGGCATAAACCTATCCCTTAAGAAGAGTTTTGATCTTAATTTGAGCCAATATTTCTGTGACTACCATTACAGAATATCTCAAGCTCAGCTACCTCAGTCTATACTTAGTATTTGCTCAAGGCAGACAAAATCTGTCAGTCACCATGTTGTTCTTAGCTTTCAATACAGAAAGCCAAGCTTCACAGAGCTTCTGAGCGCTCAGCTGACAGAATTTAACAAGATGTCTCCCATTAAACAGTTCTGCCGTACAAGCAGTTATTTAACAAACAGGCAAAACAGAGGTAAGGAGTAGTGCACTGGAAATCAGATTAACAAGAGAAGATTTTTAAAAGTCTTGGGCTATTATTTAAGTCTTCATTAAAAATTTTGACAGTGTGATACAGTACAGTTTAAAAATCACTCAAAACACCCCAAACTTTTCAATAACTTGTCTGAACAGATCTGAAACAAAAACTTGGAGGATACTGGTATCTATTTTTTAATGTTACACCCATTTTGTACTTATTTTTTAGTAATTTTATAAATCTAGTATTTTAACATTTACTGTTTTTCCTACTGTTCTCTCTCAAGGTTTTGCAGCTAGTTCTGAGGCAGATATTACAGTGCTTTCTAATAAAAAAAGTTCTTATCTCCTTACTGTCCTGGCTTTTTTCTGGTTATCACTTCACACGCCCTCCCCCCCGGCCCCCCACCCCCATTGAGGGCTGATCTGCAGCATTAGTTGGCTTCCTTAACTACAGACTGCAAATTTGTATAACCATACCAGAAACAATTCTAAAATTAGTATGCCAGCATTAGCTTATCATAGATCTGACACAGAAAAAATGTAACTAATACTGTCAAACATATGAGTGTCCCTCAGTAAATGATGGAGTCAGAAGTGCCTTACACTAAAACATGTGGAGTATCCATGGAGTTACTCTAGGATCCTCAAAAAGACTAAAGAAACCTTAATACAATGCAATACATCTGCTTTAATTTTTTTTCTAACACCAAAAGATGTATCTGAGCTAGCAAAGAAGAGCAAAAACTTCTTTTTTTGAAGTCTGATCAGTGAAAGCTAGCTCAGGCTCTGGAAAAACATGCTGGAAGGCAGAACATTTCCCCTTCATATATTTAGACCAAAATGATGCAGGAAATCACGGATTTATAGTGCTTTAAAACACTTAAGTTTCCAGTTCACACCATAAATTCAAGCCTGAATGTTTTTCTATGTAAATAAAATGGCCTAATATACAATGTCTGATTCCTGGATATCATCAAGGACAATTGCTGGTCACTACTTCATATGAAAAAAGCTACTTTAATTCACCTTGCCAGTTTGGGGGACAGTAGAAAGAGTGGAAAGAACGGATGGAAATAGTGGCATATTGTCATTCTGAATTATTTGACTAACAACTAATGGATAGAGTGTTGCAGTATAGCCAAGTGGCAGCACCATAAAGTTTTTGTTGCTAACTCAACCTTCTCATTTTTAGCTTCCTTCAAGCTTGTTAAAAATTGGACCAAGCTATTTTTTTATTCTTAGCTATCTGAACTACATAAACTACCAGAGTAGAGCATAAAGGTAAGTGACTTTAGAGAAAACATGTTTGTGGACAAAAATGGTATAAAAGTAAGTTAGATCCAGCTCATGCCCATGGAAATGACACAAATTTGCCTTTAAAACTCAGTGCACTTCTATCTGGATGACTTCACAGGGATCTAGGAAAGCAAAGTCAATCCTCTTCCAGTTTGAAAATCAAGTCATAAGAAGACAAACACCATGTGTGTTTGTTTGGTTTTTTCTGAGATACCACATACCAGATTCCCCACTTCACATCTGAATAGCACTGATGCAAAAACTCCCTTCCCGATGGGAAGGCCTTGTGCTACACACCCATGCAGCAAACGATCCATACTCAATATCCAGTTTTCCTATCTGCAGCCCCTTTGCCTACCCGTTCTAGAACCTGAAGCCAGACTGGGTTTGGAGGCTCTTTGCAAGACCCATAAGGGCAACCAGCTGCCTAAGAAGAAAGGCCTTACAAAAGCCATGTTGGCCGAGAAGCATGCACCCAACCAGGGACTTAAAAGCAACATTGCCCAGCTGAGACATCAACACATGGATCTTGGTTCTTCGTAAAGTTAATGAGGAAGCCAACCCTCCTTTTAAAATGACAAAATTTTAAAAGTAATATATATTAAAAGAATGTCAAAATTTTGAGAACACTTTGGATTTTTTTTTTTTTTTTTGGTGGTCAGATACTCCCAAGCATAGGGAGTAGATGTGTTTATGAAAATCAAGAAATTTGCATGGCCCCTGCTGTCTCCTTCCTCTGTGCAACACTCGCTCCTTGACCGCTTATCTTTTGGTTGTATTTCTATTGGCATATAATTAAAAACTGCAACACATACAGAAAAGAATGTACATGACTCTCCCTGAAGTAATAAATCACTGACATTAGGCAATACATGAAGAGCAGCTATCAACAAAGCAGTAAAACTGACTTAGCTTACAAGACATATTCAATTACCAAAGGATCAAAACCTATGTTTGCCTTGATACAATTAAATTACAAATATCCTGCTGTTTCCACAAGAAAAATGTTAAATCCTTCAGTAACAAAGTGCTTTTCTGTTCAACCTCTCTGAATTGCCATTGTGAGAAACTCTCAGACATTTGTAAACAGAGCAAACCCAAAGTTTCAATGTTTCTGATGAAACCACTATGTTTTACATCCTATTTTGAGAAAATTTAAGTCTTCTCCTCCTAGTTTTACTTCCTGAAATTTAAGGAAAATGAAATCAGCTTCTAAAGATTATTTTTTTAAATTCAGTTGGCCTTTTTGGAAGAAATTTCACTGACACATATTCCCACAGAAACCTTACATTCTGCCAATATGTTTTCCAATAAAAAACATTTCAAACTCTTTCTGCTAGTCCTACAGTCAAGCTGTGGTATCTCTTTTAGAAATTTTAAAATAGAAGGTCACTGATCAGTGTTTTAAAAGGCATCATATTAATTTTAAAACTTGTCATGAACTAACATTGTGCAAGATTTAACTGAAATACTTGAACACTGTTTTACTGAAGTTGCATACAACCATGTGGAGCTTGGTATTATTTTTTATGTCTTGAGCAAATGTAGGAAGGTTGGGATGACTTGGAAGCTTTCCTCTCCTCCAAAGAATCTTAAACCACCAGGCTTATACAAGCCCCCCCGAAATGTTTCCCTTTAGCTGTCAAACTCCAGAGTGTGCAGAGGTCACAACATTGTGTAGAGAATTATGCAATTTGAAGTCTGTTGAATTTTACAGCTTCTCCTGTTATTTGCACTAGAAAAACAAACCTGAACTGCAGCTCGGCCGTTTCTCCTAAACCTACCTTTCACATACTTTCTACTTTGATCATTTCCTGCCACCAGCACACGGTGCAATACTAAAGCTTAGCATGCTCGAACAGTGTAGATATGGAGTAAAACCCACCTCTTGCAGGCACAAAGACTTCAGTTACACCTATGCCTTGAGCACAGCTAGCACAGCTATGGCAAAAGCAACTAAAAGTGCCTTTTGACTGACAGGTCTGTGCAGGAAGCACAGTGCAGATTCACAGCAAGGTCAGACAGAATAAATAAACAGTTTCCAATACCAGTTATACACATCTCCAAAAACCCTTCTCCCTTCCACCAGAAACTTAAAATAATTCTATCTTAAAAGCAGTAACATTTCCATGAAATTAAAGTCACAGAATCACAGAATGTTAGAGATTGGAAGGGACCTCGAAAGAGCATCTAGTCCAATCCCCCTGCCAGAGCAGGAACACCTAGATCAGATCACACAGGAACGCATCCAGGTGGGCTTTGAATGTCTCCACAGAAGGAGACTCCACAACCTCTCTGGGCAGTCTGTTCCAGTGCTCTGTCACCCTCACCGTGAAGAAGTTTCTTCTCATATCCAAGTGGAACCTCCTATGTTCCAGCCTGAACCCATTGCCCCTTGTCATAACTACGACAGATTTCTGTTATAATTTAATAAGGAAAAACTGCCTGCTTATGAAAATTTAGAGAATAAAAAGACGACTTAAAAACACAAGTTGACCTTGAAATTTCAACACATTGCTTCTGGTAAGGAAACATATTATTTTCACACTGAGTCACTCTTATGTATATACTTTTAAGTTGTTCTGTGAATCCATACATTCCAGGTTTTTGCTATTGCAGAGGAAAACCAAGAAAGAATGCATGGAAATAGCTGACAAATTTAAAGGAGTTACTTTGGTCTGGATGTAATATTACTCTGGTGTCTTGTCTTCACTTCACTGTAGAGAAAATGCTCATTTCTGCTTTTGATTAGTGTGGTATCTGTTACGGGCAGCTCCACTGACTTCACTACAAATATACCGATACAACACCAGCATAGAAACCAAAGCAAATATGTGACGTATTACTGTCCAGCATGAGCCCACAAGTACAGCAAAACAGCAGGCAGAAGCCTTACATATAAACATCCCTGTTTAAGAAAAACTCATACAAGGCACCTCAACTCAGATGCAATAATCCACCAGTAGACGTCTTTATTTTTTTTGAACTGAAGTATCTAAAAAGTTCCTCACTTGTCATTCAGTGGACATTTTATACAGCTGTTCGGAAGACCATACATCAATGACAAAGCCATAACAAAAACAAGACAGGTTTTACCATCTACTTCCAATGAAATAAGAGGCTGCAAATTAAGGCATTTCTGAAGTTAGACCCACAAACAATAATCTCAAAGAACCTTAAGTTATCCCTCTGCTACCTTGCTATCTATTCTGTTTTAACTGCAGGAAACATGAGGTACCTGTAGCATACTTGTGTGCAATTTTCTAACCCTTTATATTAGCTGACACAGTCTTTAGACTGTAACATGACAAGGAAAATGAAAACCAATACCAATACTGAAGACAGCCAGCCCCAAGCATCCACTACCCTGAAATAAGTAAGAAAACTTACAGAACCTTCAACGGAGTCCAGATCAGATATTTGCCTTACAAAGCTGTCATCCTGCATTATCCCTATTCATCTTAAAGGGAAGCATGGCTATGCACAGTATGTCTGTATTACTGCTCATTTTTATCCTCCTTTGTGGAAAAATTAATCAGGCGTACATAGCTCTTTTTTATTATGTTATAAATATCACTATTTCAAACTATTTACATGAAAATAAATTACAGGGTGGCAGACCAGAAACATAGACCTCACTCTTCAGCTTTGCAGAGGCTTTTAAACTTCACATGGTTTAACCAACACTAAGTTAACAACTGGCCAAGAGTCAAAACAATAAAGATTTCAAAGCCTCAAAGCTGAACACTCTGCCACAACACTTATAGAACTGTTTCGCAATTGGCTTAAATCAGTGTAAGTCCGCTGGTGCTTCCCTAAGTTATGCATCTGCGCTTTTTGCTCCTTGCTTTAGCGTTAGCACGGCTATGACTATGGAAATTATATATTTGTTAGGATTGGTTTTAAAATAATTAGGTCTCCTCATTCAGCTGAGTGCATATGTACACACAGCAGAAAGCAGAGAGAGAGGCCTGAAGGGACAGCAGTAGGATTACTTCAAGCAACAGCCCACATTTAAACTGTTTAAGCCAATCACAGAAACATATCAGAACCCAATGAATTCAAGAAGTACAGAGAGAGTTAATATTTGTAAGCAGAAGAAGGACCTTTGTGGTCTTTCCTAAATAACGGGCACCTACTCCACTCACTCTTATCCCTCGCCCCCATATCAACCAACATTTTGTTTTTTTCTTTCAAAGATGATGTAACTGATAACTAGTGAAACCCAGAGATAATGACTTTCAACACTACAGCTTCTACCTCAAATTTGAAGGACTTGCACAGCAAAAAGTTAACTTTTTCCATCTATACCACTGAACCACTAAACCACCACAGACAGCAGCTGAGAAAGTTTGGCAAAACCCAGAAAGTTAAGCAAGGGGTGCACAGGACAGTGTATGCAGCATGCCACTGCCTGCACCTCACCGACACCAGCACTGGAAGTACCTGGAGGAAGCCAAACCCTATGGCACGGACAGCTCACTGGGAACTGCAGGGGAAAGCTTCTGTTCAAAATGGAGTGTCTCTTCTGAGGCTAAACAACGTGTTCTCTTACAGCAAAGGATGAGAAACCCCTCATAATGAAAGCAGTTGCCCGAAGTGTGAGCTGTGGGTTCCAGCCTCCCCTCTCCTGCCAGTGTCAAACCAACCCTCTCCCAGACAAACGCCCTGCCCCTTCCAGGAAGATTATTAATACAGATTCAAGTGAAAAGCATTCATTTGTGACAAATGTTCTTTCGACCAACCTTCAGACCATTGTAGAAGCTTACCTGATGAAAAAATGGCTTTTCCTTTTCTAATGTACACTATGTCTTTTGCATTTGAGAGCCTCACTCCATTCCTTCTAAGATTTCAGCAGAATATTTTAAAATACCATGTGAGAAGCATGTCCTTTGTCCCTCCGCCAAAGTTTTGACATTTCCTTTCTTACCTTTTAGGTATTAGCTGATTGACACACTGAAAATACAACTGATTAATGTGGTCAACAATGAATTAAAAAGTTCATAAAGTACTGAAGTTTTATGAAACAAATCCAGGATATTGGCTGGAAGGAAAGAGCAGCTGTGGAGGGGAAGTCAGCTGAAGTACTTGTAATACCTGTTTACCTGTACTAATGACATGCTAAATAATAATTTAAATGATCTTACAATGCAGAATTTAAAGAGGTTATTTGCTGACTTACACATTTAGAAAGTAATCGTTGTTCACATTAATCAAGTCCAAGTTCTGCTTTCTGGCAGCAGTTCTTCCCTGACAAGCATTTTCATGTCAGTATTTATCTACACCAATTAGCTTATCAGCTTGTACAACTCTCATGAAACTTTTTTCCTGAATTCTTACATTCCAGTTTTGTGAAGGAAACCAAATTAATACCATAGTTGCTTCTTTTTTTTAAACTCTATGAACTCACATAAATCTTATTGAATGACTATGGTAAATTCTTTCAATAGCCTCATAATGCTATCCTTTATAAAAAGAGAATAGGAATGTGACTGTGGACTTTGTGCTGTTTCTGACAAGTAGAGGTTAAAATCCCCTTGTACAAAGCCAGAGGCCTCCATTCGTCCAAAACTGCCGAAGCTGCAAGAACTTCACGTGGTGACTGCAAGTAATTTGGCTTGAAAGTGAAATACATCCTTGAGAACTACACAGATAAACACAAGTAATCCTGACATGGAACTAGCCTACCTCAATCCTGGCCAGAGAAAACATGTTGGGCAAAACCTTAAACTAAAGATCTGAAAAATAAAAAGGAATTGCCTTAAAACTAAACAAATTACAAATGTCTTTCTACAAGTTCTGCTCCCCTGACCTATTTCATCCTGTATGTTTGGAATAACTTCCAAAATAATTCATGAAGCTTCTTCCATTTCCTTCCTATCATTCCTAGTATTTGCTTAGTATAGCAATTTATTTTTTTCATAAAACAGTGATGTTTTGCACTTGCAAAGTATTTTCAATAAGAATTTTTAGTTATGGAACATTTGGCAAATTTCTGTCAATTCCAATTAAGCTTTGAATTTCTAATCCTATGATTTAGAAAGTATAAGCTTGAGTAGAGATAGAATTTGCCACAGTGTTAGGGAAAGCTATTTAACTTTTTCCTGCATAAGAAATTTCAAGTGCTGACATTATTTCAATCCTGTTTGCAGAGTGACTGCATAAACGCATATTTTTTTAAAGTCAAATAATGCAAATGAGAGTTCAGGAACTCGGGTATTTTTTTCTAAGTAAGGCATCTCTTTTCCTGCCTGACATTTTAGAAATTCATCCTACTTCTATCCATTCAAAATGACGTTACTAAGACTGTTTACTAATCCTTTTTCCATTTTCCTTCCCTCTGAACAATGTCAATGTCCATTTTTCAAGCTCTTCATCTTTATGATCCTTTAACATTGCTTTGTAGCCCATCTCTTTTAAGCCACTCAATCTATAGATTAAAGCATGAAAAAAACCTGTGTTTAACTCCCCACTAGCCTACTGCAAGATCAGCTACGCTTAACTTACATGTCATAATCATCTGATGTCTAACCCACGCTTCTAATGCATGATGCCATGCTGCCTCTTCTCCAGGGAATACATAAAGAAGTTTTCCTGAATCATAGAATCATAGAATGGCCTGGG